TCCTCCTCCTCCCTCTCTCCTCCTCCTCCTCCCTCTCTCCTCCTCCCTGTCTCCTCTCTCTTTCTCCTCCCTTTCTCCTCTCCTCCCTCTGTCTCCTCTTCTCTCCCCCCCCCTTCATTTTATACATGGCTGGATGCCAGTCCAGGGAGTCTTGTTGGCAGTTACTCACAGGTGAATCCTGCCAGTATCTTCTCCCACCTTCACAACAGACTCATGCAGGGAAAGGTCCTTTCGTGGGAGATAGAGACTTCGGCTAGAGGAGACACAGTAAATGATTCACAGCCCCTGCACAACCTACGATCCCCTGCATTTGCATTTATGCTGTTGTCTTAGAGCTTTATAGTTTTGCATGGGCATGGACGGTTTTTGATTCATTTTGAGTTCCTATCAGTGATAAGAGACCTCTGTCTATCTCCCTTGGAGGTGTCAGATTTTCAGAATAGCGTTGTGAGTCAGCTGCCCTGTGGACATTGACTTGCCTTTGGTCCTTAGTCACCGATTCTGTCTGTCTGACAGGTAGGCTTTCCTTCTGTTTGCTTGAATGTCTGATTTTGGCCGGTGCCTCACTGTCTTGGTTCCGGTATCTTCAGAAGGAGCCTTAACGTCCCCAGACGGTCAGTCGAATAAGATGACTGTCCCTCAGCATGGTGGCTCGTCTGACCCTTGGCTCTGCTGAGTCCCTGCTGTCATTTGGGTTCATTTGTCTCTCCCGCCTGTTCCTAACTGAGAAATGTCGACGTTCGTCCCCAACCACGGTCGATTTCCTGATGTTACTCTTTGTGTTTCCACAGGTGTTTGACTCACGTGTTTGGCGTCTGTAGTTAGGCACACACATGTGGCGATCAATGTATCATCTTAGCAACATGATCCTTTTTAAGTCATTTTACTGGAGGCTCTTACAGCTCTTACCAGAATGTATACATACATCTGTTGTGTCAAGCACGCTTGTACATGTGTTGACATCATCCTTTTTCAAAACATTTTCTTTCTACTTGAGCCTTTTGTATCCACTCGGTTCCCCCTCCCACTCCCTCCCTCATGATCCCTTGATAATGTATACATTGCTGTTTTCTCATGTCGTAAACAGACTGCTGTCTCCCTTCACCCAGTTTGCTGCTGTCTGCCCCCCTAGGAGGGGGTTATATGTCGAAGCAACATGATGCTTTTATCTTGTGATATTTCTCTCTGTTCTGTGATAAGATCACTGGTTCTGGAACTTGCATTGTCTGAAAATACCGTTTTATATGCACTCATCCTTGAATTTCTTCCCCCCACCCAGGGCTTCTTCCACGCATAGTCATTTGCATTTTGTGAGGCTTCTCCCATAGGACTCGGCCCTCAGGACACACTCGGGCCTCTGGCTCCTAGGAGCTGCCGAGAGAAAGTGACTTTTCTGGGTGTCCCGGGTGACGCAGGTCCATCAGGCCTTTAGCCCAGCTCACAGCTCACAGCTGCTGTCTCAGCCTCCACAGGGGCGTGAGCGTGGGGATCGTGGAGTCTCTGGTACTCTCAGTCTGCATCTTGTGTTTACCCTCCTGAGGGGCTGTCTCTCTGCTGGGGTCACAGCCCGTCAGCGTCCACAGGGGCTGGTCATAGGGTGGGATGGATGTGCTCACTCCAGTCGTTTCTGTGAGCTGTTGGATCAGCTCTGCTTCGCAGTGCCCTGACGGCACAGGACGGAGCTGCCCGCCCGGCTCCCAGGGCTGCTGTGTGTGGACACCGACCGCTCTGGCTTTCTCCTGAGGGAGGGGCTCACGGGGTTCATTTGTTTTCCTTTCCATCGTTGTCTTTTCCTCCCGGTTCTGGCTTCAACAGGCCTCATGTCGGATTCCGTGTGCCCCCCTTGGAGCAGCATCACACCTCCTTTCCCCGTTAGTCGTCGCTGTAACATTTGTCAGGTGCCTTTCTCATTAGCCTTGTCTACTTCCCAGGGACGGGTTAAATCAGGTCTGAGACGGGCCAGTGTTCTGTGGCACCCTGTGCCCGTGTGCGAGCCCCATGGATGTGGTGTCCAGTGTGGACCAGAGGGCAGCCGGGAAGAGGACAGTGATGATGCCCCGGTCATCTGGGGGGCCTGTGTCTGTGGGTTTCTCCAGCTCACCCCTCACTCACTGGTGAGAGCTGAACCCTAGATCGGGCTGAAAGTGGGTGGGTGTCCCACCACTCCAGGCCGGCTCGCATCACAGTAAAGCCATGGCAGTCGAGTGGAGAGGGATGCTTGGTGACCTTGTAAAGCAGAGAACTCCCCAAGGTGTCTAACAGTGTACACCTTTATGGGAGCAGGCAGCTTCTTTTGTCTGCAGAGCAGCTGGTGGGTTTGAACAGCTGACCTTGCGGTTAGCAGCCCTTTGCTTTACCCTCTGTGTTAGTCCGGGTGGACGAGAGAAACAAATCCAGGGAGACACTTATCTGTTTATAAGAAAGAACTTTATGTACAAGAGCGATTGAATATTGAAGAAACATCCCAGCCCAGTCCAGATCAAGTCCTTAAGTCCAGTATTAGCCCATATGTCCAATACCAGTTTATAAAGTCCTATCCAGACTCACACAACACAGGCAATGACGCTGAATGCAGGAAGATCTCAGGCCAGTGGGTGGGAAGTCTGGCGGATCCAGTGGTGGTGGAAGCATCTCAGTGCTGGCAGGGGTCTCCACGTGGTTCCTTCAGCTCCCAGGGCAGGGGCTCTGTCACCATAGCGCCATGTGTCTTCCAGTAGAGCATCTTGCAGGGAGTGAGCAGGAGGGAGAACAGGATTTCCCAGAATCCTCAGGAGAAGGCCGTGCCCACACAGAAGCCTCATTGGCTATATCCTGGCTAGACTCCACCCCTACACTCTTAATCCTCAAATGGACACCAGAGGATGTAACTACCACACCCACTGTGCCACCGGAGCGCCTCGCTGGTCAGTTCGACTCTGGTGAAATAGGGTCCCTCGAGGGCAGGTCTTTTGAGAGAGCAGAACTTTCTTGGGAGTTTCCAGAACGGCCACTTCTCCCTTCCCAGTGGGAGAGAAGCGCAAGGAGATGGTTCCCAAATGCTTACTCTGAGTCTTCCTGCTCGTAAACCTCACAGCCCTCTTTGGTTGTGGTTCTCAGGACTGGTGATTTCAGGGGGTTGGGGCTCTGGGACAGGCTTCCATCAGTGGGGAAGTGGACGTGGTTGGTGCTAGGATGATGCAGGTGGTGTCCCCTGCAGTAGACCCGGGCAGAAGGCAGACCCTTGTGCGCGGTCCCTGCTGACTCTCCGCTCCCTCCGATTCTTTGCCTGTGACCCTCCTGCTTGTCGACGAGGACGATAAGGGACCTTGCTGATCTGGAATGTGTGTGATGCCTTAGGACTCACTGTTTGCCGAGGATGTGGCCGTGGTCTTCAGCCAGGAGGAGTGGGCTCTGCTGGACCTTGCCCAGAAGAAGCTCTACAGGGAAGTGATGATGGAGACTTTGAGGAACCTGGCCTCCGTGGGTAAGAAGGCGCATGTCTTAAAAAGCATCACTCTAGAGGGAAGGAGAGCATTTTCCTCATCAACATTCCCCGTCCCCCCAAAAAGTGTGTGGCTGGTGGAATGAGAACACATTTTCATTTTTTTCAATCGTTTTATTAGGAGAACACATTTTTAATAAGAAAGACGTGGAGCTCAAATTCCCAGGTTTTTCCTTGAAAATGCAGCTCTGTGTTCAAGGGAGTTTTTCTACCTGTTTTGATAAAACACTCTGAGGCTTTTAACACGTTGTAAGTGTAAGCATTGGCTTCCGGGTCAGTGAGACAGTCAGAAATAGGTGTTTGGGCACCTGGGAGAAAGTTTCCCTGTGGTGAGTTTGACATGTTATTTTGTTGCAGATAAACTCCCGTTTGCTCATCCTCAGGACCCAGAGAGCCAAGTGTAGGTTCAATGTCAACTAGTTCCCTGTTCTTTACTGATTTCCCCGCCTGATGCACGTTTCTCCACGAGCGCCGGCCCAGTCGTCCCCGTTTGTTTTCTCAGAGAAGCGCGAGGGAGATCTTTGGGTCTTGGAGAAAGACCCTGGTGAGCTTTGCGTCAGGAAGCACCAGGACGCAGTCTGTCTTTCAGGACGTTCTTGAAGGGGGAGACTTGCAGTGGTTTGCTTTAGCCGTGTCCAGAAGATCTATTTGGTGTGGAAGGTGCCACCTCACAGATAAACCTGGTCGTGCTTTTGTCAAGAGGATTTTAAGAATCCTCTTGCAGCTGGTTGCAGGGAGACCCTCTTCCTCTTTCTGTTTTTATCTCCAGCCTTAAGGATCCGGGGATAGCACTCACTAGGAAGTTGGGTTGCGCATGTATTGTGTACAGTACCTTTCCGCTTAGCTCTCCTCCCTGTCCCTTTAAGAAGCCCCGGAGGCTCTGTTGGGTAAGCCTGGGACTGCTGAATGTAAGGTCAGCAGTTCAAACCCACCAGCTGCTCGGCAGAACAGAGGTGAGGCAGTCTCCATCTGCCCATACTTAGTGCTCACCAGAGTGGCCTGCGCTGCCCCTGGGGGAAACTGGAACAATCCAGGGTGCTGCAGAGGCAGATACCTCCATTTATCCCTGCATTACGGGCTGCGGTACAACGTTTTCTATTGCCACAGTGGCATTGAGTAATGCCTTTTGTTTCTTCTGGAAGGAGGGCAGGAGGCCAGGTAGTTTGGGATCCTATGATTTATAACCTTGAAACTCCGAAGGGGGAGTTGTCCTCTGTCCTCTCAGGTCACTGTGAGCTGGTTTAGACTCGATGGCAGTGGGGATGGCCCCTGTCGATGGAACCGGCCCTTTCATTCATTTGTCATGGAAGGATTTTCCTGGGACTTTTCTTTTTCTCCATTAGCCAAGTGCTGGTACAGTGTGCCGCCGTGGCGAGTACTGTGTGCCGTGGCGAATACTGTGTGCCGTGGCGAAGGGTTTAGTGTCCGCCACAGCCCTCGTCCTTCACAGCCCCTTTCCTTTCTGTTTCATGTCGCGAACCTCACCCTGAACGCCTGGGCAGTCTCTCAGAACGTCAGTGACGAGAGGACGGGGCAGCTCACCCGGAACAACACCTGGTTCTCCATGTTGGTGGGAAGCTCGGACTCAAACGACAGCCCAGATGACAGCCCAAACCAAGGACGATATTTCGGGTGAGTGACCGTCAAAGGAGGACCCAAGATTGAGTGAATGAATGAATGAAAAGGTGAAATAATTAAAAAAAAAGATTCCAGAGAAAGGCCTGGGCTGTCATGATGCACACTTAGGAGGGAGCTTGAGGAAGCTTGTGGGGAAGTTCTTACATCATCTCTTCATTCAATTTTTCCATGAACTTTTGGACCCCACAGTCATAGTTACTGGGACTTTGAGCAGGTTCAGCGCGGGTCAGTGACGGTTCAGATGAGTGTAGCCCAGTCAGTGAGGTGGAGCCGGGTCTTGTGACCTGTCGCATGTTGCTCAGACGAACAAACACACCCAGCGATGTCCCGCTCAGCAATGGATCCAGACTGGGCCCCTTGGAATGTGTGTCGCGCTTCACAGTCCTCCCGGTAATCTAATCCTCCATGTTCAGTTCCTGAAACTTCAAAGACCTCGGCAGGGGACGGGCTTACTGGCAAGACTGTGATGATGGACACCTGGGAAACTATGGGGCACAGCTGTTTGTTCCCCAATCAGGTCAAAATCCAGCAGCAGATTGGGATCTGATTCAAACTGTATGTTTCAAACTATAAGTTAAGTTGTCAACTGCCAGACCATGAACCACGTGTTCAAAGCCCTGATAGATGCTGCTGTGTGTGTGCACACATACAGGTTTACTTGTACATTTGTATTATTATAACCACAGTTGTAAGATTAGGTGTTCGGCAAATTGTCCCAATACAAAGGAGCTGCAGAAAGTTCAAAGGAACAATGGATTGTAAGATGGTAGAGTTTCCCGTGAATGGTTTTAAGTCCATTCTTAATGATACTTTATATATTTATGATATAACACTGTAAGAATTGTAAGCCAGATAAATAGTATTTGATGCATAGTTTAGTTGTACACAGTTACCCCAAAACCTTGTGTTTTAGGAAACCGGTGCTAGTGCAGTGGTGGTATATTGTGAGACGCTGTCCCCTGTGAACAGGATGCAAACCAGGGACAGGGCAGTGGTGGTATATTGTGATTTGCTGTCGCTGTGAACAGGATGAAAAAGAGGCAAACCACCATGCACAGTCACTGTGTTTGGTGCTGGTGAACTGGGAACGAATGGATTTCCAACCGCCTGCCGCTTATTTTTAACAGAAATCACACAGTAGAGAACCTCCTGGAGCATCGTGATGGCAATCAGTATTGGAAAACCCCGAGCTGGATTCCACATCTCAGTGAAACACGAGATCCTGCAGATCTTGACGGCCGTGAGTCTGGGAAAGACTTCAGGGACCCCTCGTCCCGCAGTCGTCTCATGAGACCCCACAGTGGACGGCACACCTGCCCAGACCAGGAAGGTGGAGAAGGAGGCCGTTGTCAGCCTCACCCAGCCACTCCTGGGAGAACTGTTAAAAGGAAGAAGTCGCATAAGTGTAAGGTATGGGGGGAGGATTTCCTTTGCATCTCGGCCCTTAGGAACCCTGTGACGGCACTCACTGAGGAGAAGTGCTTCATCTGTAACAAGTGCGGACAGGATTTCTGTACTTTCTCCTCCTTCTGGACCCACTTAAGTGACCATCAGTGTGATTGTAAAAAATGCTCTAAAGCCCGTAGCCCTTTGTCCATTTTGCGTAAAAAGGTGCATAAGAGAAATGAGCCTTATGAGTGTAGAGAGTGTGGAAAAACCTTTAATTATTTCTCAGCCCTCAGTTCGCATCACAGGATCCACACGTTAGAGAAACCTTACGAATGTAAAGTCTGCGGGAAAGCCTTCAGCTTCTCCTCCTCTTTCACCACACACATACGCACCCACAGCGGAGAGAGGCCGTACGAGTGTCAGGAATGCGGGAAAACCTTCATCCAGGCAGCGCACCTCACGACACACAAGCGCACCCACAGCGGGGAGAGGCCGTATGGGTGTGAGGACTGTGGAAAGGCCTTCAGACAGCCCTCAAACCTCAACACCCACCGGCGGACACACAGCGGAGAGAGGCCGTACGAGTGTCAGGACTGCGGGAAAGTGTTCAGCTGCTCCTCGTCCCTCACGAGACATAAGCGGACCCACAGAAGAGGGAGGCCGTACGTGTGTAAGCAGTGTGGGAAAGCCTTTGCTCAGCTTGCCCACCTCACCTCCCATATACAGTCCCATCAGGAAGAGACGCTCTCCGAGCGTAAAGACTGAGGACGCCCTTGACGGGTCCCTTACTCCGGGCTTACCACACACAATACTCAAAAGGCCTCCGGGGTGTCAACAATGTGGGAAATTGTTCAGTTATTCACCAGCCCTCATCACACATGAAATAACTCAAAACAGACACAAACCTTATGAATCTAACGAATGCAGGAAAATCTTTAGTCATGCCTCAGCCCTCACTAAACATATAGTAACTCACCGGGCAGAGGCCTTATGAAAACCTTTATGCCATGTTCCTTCAACCTTCCCAGACACACAGAGTCCCACAGTGGAGAAAGGCCTGGTGATTGTACAGAATGTGGGTGAGCCTTCAGTCGTGCCTCATCTCTAATTTAGCCCCAAAGAATTCACAGCTGAGTACGCCCTTGTCAATGTAAGCAGCGTGGGACACCCTTTGGTTAATCCTCACCCCTGACTGTGCACACAGCTCAAGTGCAGATAAACCATGTCAGTAAGGAACCTGGAAGAGCCTTCTGTTGTTTCTCAGGCCTCACTGGGCATAAGAACTAAGAGGCCTTCTACTTGTAAGGGTTGTGGGAAAGGCTCTAGTCATCCTTCAATCCTTACTGCACAAAGGACTTAAACAGTGTTAGGAGGCCTTAGAAATGTAGGAAAGGGTTTTGTCGGGTGCACTCCCTCACTGCATATGCAGACTCACAGTGGAGAGGCCTTGTGGATGCAAGGCATGTAGCAAGGCTGAGGCTGCACATCTCATTTCACCTGTAAGAACATGTGGTTGAGACGCACCAGGTCAAAAGTGGGATATGTCATCCTTGCGGCTAGAGTTTCAAACAGCACATTTTCAAAGGCCTTCTGTACGGGAGAGAAACAAGCAAACAAAACACAGTAAGAAAACATCATTCACTAAGAGAAGGGGTCATAGAGGTGCTCTGTGACCTTTGGGGGAAGGCAGTTTCATTATAACTCTGAGACTGCCTTCCGAAGTGTGAGTTACAAGTGCAAGAAACATTGTAGCTTTCTTAAAGGCTTTGGCTACTGAAATACAGCTGCCAAGGAATACACTTAAAAATATTTGTGTGTGGGTGTGTGCGCGCACGTGTGTTTAAATGTTTGCGTTAATGCTGTGTGCCTATAATTAAGTACACCCCCAGTATTTGGTGAAATAGTGTTTTGTTGGTTTTGTATTTAACACACTTCCTTCTTATTGTAAACGTATTTTTTTGTAATTAGTAAGTTGCTCGAAGAGCAGTACATGAGCCTGTAAATATTTTGCTTTCCGTTGTACTCTGACCTAGTAGCTTTAGTATCTATTGATAAGTGTTAGCTCTGATGACAATACTGTGCTACGTACCAAGTGATAGTTCCTGTACCTGTCATTTCTTCTTTGTGTATTAGTTGTGTTGATGCTAGAAGTAACTTTCCTTTCTTTACCCTTTATTTATTAAATGTTTATACCACTACAGACAGTCCCCAGAATAAGAACAAGTTCTGTTCCTAAGTTTTTCTATTAAGTCTAACGTGTCTGTACGTCATTGTTGTGGGTTGAATTGTGCCCCACAAAACTTTGTGTCGACTTGGCTGTGATGCGATACATCGTGTGATGTGGTGGTTCTCTGTTTTGTAAATCTGATGTAATTATCCTCCATTTAGTGATGTATTGTAAATCTTAGAGTATACCTGTCTTAATAGTAGTGAGTTGTTCGTTTTGCTAATTACGGAGGATTAAGGTGTGTTATATATTGTCTCCCCGCTTTCCTAGGGGTATGACTCAAATCATGCCCTTGCCTGAGTCACCCTTTATCTTACAAGAATTATTAGGAGAGAGAAGCAGGCAGAGATGGGAACCTCATCCCTGCAAAGAAAGAAGAGCCCGAGTGGAGCCCGAGCATTGGACTCAGGGTAACCGAGCTGAGAACCTCCTAGACCCAGGAGGAGTGCGTTGTAACACTACCTTGAGTATTCTTGACCTTGGATTTTAACTAGTTTTGCCAAGACATGTTGAGATCTCCAAGAGATGCTAGTCCCTGCACATGGTGGACACAGACCATT